GAAGAAAGAAAAACTAGAAACATATATCCCTAAATGTTAATAGTAGTGGTGGTTCAATAATTTAATACACATGTATGACTTTCAATTATGAAAAAATAAAATGGCAATAACTCTTTCAAATTCAATTAATTTCACCGTAATTTCAATCCATTCACTTTTAAACCTTTTAAGATTATGACACTTCCGGCACGATAAATGTGAGGAAAAGAAAAAATGATTATGACACCCATCTAAAGCTGTTTTTCTTTCTTTAGAACCCTCACAGGCAGAGCAACTTCAGGCTGATAGAGCAAAAACAAATTACACGTAACCACAATAACCACATTTCATTTCAAGGAAACCTGGAAGTCATCTGTGGAACTACAAGGATCCACTGAAGGGTTGCAAAACCTCTACTGTCATGTATCTGTGCCTTTTCCATAATATTAAGTAAGTAGGGGTCAAACACATTACTTTTATATCAATATCTCTTACAGCCTGTACATTAAGTTAGCTATAGAACCAAGGCTACCTTCCAGCTCGTCAAAACCACAATGCAAGCAAGAACATTAAGGCTGCTGGCCTCCTGACCCTTGGAACCTTTAAAAGGGAATTTGGCCCTCACCTAATGAATTAAATTTAAATCCAGTCTGATCTGAGATATCACTTTCACTGATTGCTTATTTCAGAATGCTTGATTTAATTTTTTTCCTACAAATGTCATCTGTATCCTGAAAGGTTTACAGGAAGTACAGATAAACTACCCACAGTTGCCTCCTCCTTCCTCTCTAGAATGTTTAAAGCACATAAGGGCAAAGATCTTTGTTTGTTCCCCACTAATGTATCCTTAGCACCATAAATGTCCAAAATTGTTCATTCTATTCATTCTCCCAAGTCAACATGAGTTCATTAAGCAAGCACTTACTGAGTATCTCTTCTAGCATTACACTAGATCATAAAAAATTTTTTTAAATAGTTCCCATCATCCAAAAGCTTAAAACCTAGTTGTAGAAATTACATGGATAGAGGAAATACAATTAAGCAACAATTCAAGGACATATACAATTAGATGCAAAACTTCAAGCACCCGAGAAATAATGTAGGATGGTACAGTTTGCTTTAAGCTTTTTTTTTTTTTTGGGTGGGTGGCCTGTATGGTGATCTGAACCTTTGATCTAGTGTTACCAACACCTTGCTCTAACCAAGCGAGCTAACTGGCCAGCCCAGATGATACAGTTTGATATGACCTTTAGCAAAGAGATGAAAAACAAATGTGGGACTTGAAGGAGGAGCAGTTTAAACTGGTGAGAAGGGAATTTCACAAAAAACTACTGAAGACAGGAGCTCAGCCTGGCCTGAGCACGTAGAACAGAGAGGAAAATGGAGAAAGTGAGGAGAGCCTGGAGTTAGGCAATGGCGGTGGAGACAGAAAGGGACAAACGGAATAAACCATCAGAGCAGCTTCTCCACCTTAGCTGTACATTGACTGGAATCACTGGGAAGCTTTTAAAAATAGTGATGCCCGGAACTCAAACCAGAGATTCTGACTTAATTGGTCTGGGTACAACCTGGACATCAGGATTTTTAAAAGTTCCCCAGTGTGGGAACTGTGGGCATAGCTTACTCAATCTTCAAGCCCTTACCACTTGCTATGTCCCCTGTGTGAGCACTGCCCACAAAAGTTATACAGTAACTAGGAGTAAGGTAGTCAAAACAATAGGTAGAAAGAGTTTGCTGACTACAAATAAGAAATTTAATGATTTCTACATGGCAACAGCAGGTCTGGCTACCTGCATCACAAGACCACCAAAGATAGAAGTCACTGTCATAAAACATTTGGAGTTAATGACATTAGCTTGTTTCTTAGTAATTGCTTCTTGGCTTTTTCCATTGCTTTATGTGAGCTGCCTATATAAACCTGGGCTTGACCAAGACGCAGTGCAGAGAAACCTTGCATTTGTCTCTGGACTGTTGCCTGCTCAATCCACCAGCCTGTAGGTAAGTTACCCTAATAAAATTCTTTGCTTTACTGTACGGAATTGCCTATTTTATTTTCCGGTCTCAAGATACCTTCTCCGTTTGTTGAACATTTTGCCTTTAGTGTACCATCAGACACCAAGGGACTCTAATGTGAATCTAAGGTTAAGAGTCACTGCCTTAGGGCCGGCCCGGTGGCGCACTCGGTGGAGTGCGGCGCTTAGGAGTGTGGCGGCGCTCCCGCCGAGGGTTCGGATCCCATATAGAGACCGGTCCGCTCACTGGTTGAGCGCGGTGTGGGCGTGACACCGAGGGTTGCGGTCCTGTTACCGGTCACGAAAATAAAAAAAAAAAAGACAAAAAAAGAATCACTGCCTTAGAGGAAAAACCATTGGAACCTGGTAACTGGCAACACAGGATAAAGAAGGAAGACTCAGAGATTATGAAGAATGTGTGTCTATAATCACAACCTTAAGAGACAATCCAGGAAATGGAAAAAGTGAAAATAGGTAAGCCCTTTTGGACTTTATCACTCTGCTGAGTTCTATACAGTCAACATGTTTTAATTAATGCATATTGTTTCGATTCTTCATATACTATAGTTATCTGCCTAATATTTTTCAACAGAAATAATCAAAACTTGAACCATTTTTTGTTAAATCAAGGTAGAACTCAACCAAAAGAACATAAAATAAATCTTCTAGAAAGATTCTTGGGTTTCCTAGCTAGAAATCATCTCGTCCTTCTTGCAATTCCCATGGCATTTTAGCTGTGCCTATGATGACACTCCCATTAAACGCCCTGTAAAGATCCAGTCTGTTCCAGAAAGGAGATATCAAAGCCCCATTCCTTCTCTTACATGGTGTCCAGCACACTGCTCTGCACGTTACACATACTCAGTATGAACTAAGTGACAGGCAGATCACCACCAGATCATCACGAGAGGTCCTAAAAGTTTTTGAATGCTACATTAAAAAAAGCAAAAACCTATCCCCAGTTGCTTCTGCTTCTTCCAGACCTTTTTATCATTCTAAGCTTTCTTCATTGTGCTTCACTGCCCTCCCACTTTATCCTCATTCCATCACTTTTTGATAGGACCAAGCCTGTTCACTGTTACATGGCTCAATAAAAGGAAACTAAAGATTTTTACCTTTAAAAAAACACACCCACATAAAGAATAAGTATGATTTGTAACAATGAATATGCTAATAAAAAATAACAATAATAAATAAAATTTTAAAATTTTAAAAAATACCCAGGAACTACCTCCTAAAATATATTTCTGAATCTCAAGAAAATTTCTTTCAGGACCCCCACCATAATACTTAAACATCAGCCTAACATCAAGCATGGTTCTAGTTTTCACTTAAGGATGCTATTATAGTCTCCATGTCATCAGCATAAATGAGTGTTTCCGACCTTTTCTTACATCCACGGCATGAACAGAAAGTACTATTTGTATGACACTCTAGAGAGAAACCAGAAAGTTATCCAAGACCAGTGGTGACTGCGCTGAGAGTCTGACCAACCCCAGGACTCAAGAGATATCTTGTAGACTTGTCAGAAAGCTCTAGAATGGAGCAATCAGAACGGATTTATCATAACTCTTCCCTACCAAAGACTGTTTTCAAAGTAGTTTCTTAATCATAACTGCATCGGACACTTTTGCACCACGTCCAGCACTACACATGACAGGAAATGATTGATCCATATACATACCATGAGTCTTTGTTCCCCTCTTTAAGACTCCAATATTGTAAGCCATTCTTCAACTTATCCACTTTTTATATTTTCTAATTTTCAGGCTTAGATATGGATTTCTAAATGTGTTTCACATTTTTACTGTGACTTATCAACTGCTTTTTCCATTTAACTAAACCTCTAATCTCATTTTTCTGAGGTAGACTGCCTCCGATCAAAACATGGTAATGGCTTAAAAAAATTCAATATGCTCCACTAATTTCACAATATGGTAGAAACAAGATAAACACAGGATTCATCTTCACCTTAGGAATTTCATAATGACTCATTGCTTTCTGTTCACTTATATAGACATTTAAGTGAATAAACATGATGTATGGCAAATGAACAAGTGAGAAAGGACCTAGATCTTTTTTTGGAAAGTGTTAAATACACCAAAAAAATTAGTGATGACAACTAATTTGTATTGTCCCTTTTCCTTTTAAAATGATTTTATATAATTTTTATTTAATTTATTCTTTCTCTGCCACAGTAAAGTATTGGGTACAATGTCTAAACTATAGTGAACTGAAGTTAGCATTAAATAACTGGAATGGAAGAAGTAAAAGGGAAGGAAAAGGAAAGACATAAGATATATGACAATAAAGAAAATAAACTATTACAATATTTTCTATTGCAAAAAAAAAAAGTTGGGTATTAAATTTCACAGCACTAGTTTTTAAACACAAACCTTAAAAATTCAAACACACTACCCAGTTTGCCTCATATAGCTCAACTTGGCAATTATCTACTCTTACAACATTCTATATGGTTCATGAAAAAAATTTCATAAACTATAAATATTAAAGAAATGGGTTTTCAGCATTCCTTTTTGCCCAAAATTAGATGGCTACCTAAGTGTCATAATGGAATTTTAGTGATGTAGAAAGAAGATCATTATCCTTAGAAGATGCACGGTGAAATATTCAGAGGTGAAGTATCATAATGTCTGCAACTTCCAAATGTTTCAGAGGAAAAAAGGATGTGTTTATGTATATACCCATATGCATGTATATATTTATACACACACATGCACATGTTAATTGATGAATCTAGATAAAGGGTATTTGGGTGCTCATTGTATATTTTTTATAAGTATAAATTTTTTCAAAATAAAAAGCTGAGGAGGAAAGGGCCAATCAGAAATCCATTTATCCATTCCTTAAAAAATATGAACTACTCAAAAAAGTCAAGAAGTCAAAGACATACTTGATGTTAGTAATTAAAACAGCTCAAATCCACCATGTTATGGAAAATTCCTCTCACAGAAATACCTTATATCAAAGAAAAGTTCTGACACTCACATTGCCCATGTACTCAGACAGCAGGTCCTGCAGGGCCTGGCGGACAGCATTACACTCTGCCACGATTCGCTCACGCCGGTCATCACGTGTGCAGGATGAGTCAGCCATAAGGGCAGCCCCGCTAATGATGCTTTCCAGGCGCTCCTCCAGGGAAGGCCTAAAGCGCTCCTCACTGAAGCTCAAAGGATCCACAATGATTTGTTTCTGCAGAGGAGGCATTATTGAATGTTAGTGTTTATCTCTGTTCTCTCCATTATTCAAGGTGAGGAAAGTGTTAATTAGGAATATCAGGATTCAACCCAAAACACCCAACACATGAAAGAAAGTTATACTTCTTGGCTGATGAGGGGCCGTCCCACATAAGTTGGCCTATGGTGGATCATACCTCAAATGCAGCACTGGAAGCAATACTATCCAGCCAGACAGGGCCTGAGTAAGATATGATACTACAAATGCAAAAACAGATATATTTCATTCACACTACTTATTCTGAACATCTAAAGTTCTCCTTGTACAGTATTTAGTAATTCAAATTATCAAATGACATTTCCAAGGAAAATAAAAGTTCTCTCTCTTTCTTACGTGCAGAGTATAAAATTGCTTCATGACATTAGCAGAACTGTTTCACCACAAAAAAAATACAAATGTAACACTGAGTTCTGTCCTCAAAGTTTCAGAAAGGAATACATTTACAATGAACTTCCATCTTATTTTCCTCACCTTACATTACCTAAACAAGTTTTATAAATAACTGTCTCAAATTTATCCTGTTAGGTCTAAATTAGAGATTTTCTTTCCTCAAAAACCTCTAGTATTCTGGGCCGGCCCGGTGGTGCACTGCTACAGTGCGCCGCTTGGGAGCGCGGCGGCGCTCTGCCGAGGGTTCGGATCCCACATACAGACCGGTTCCCGCTCACTGGCTGAGCAAGGGGCGGGTGCAGCACCGAGGGTTGCGATCCCGTTGCCGGTCCCGGTCCGGTACGGGCGCGACACTGAGGGTTGCGATCCGTTGCCGGTCACGAAAAAAGACAAAAAGGAAAAAAAAAAAAAAG